AGAAAAAAATGATCACAAGTTTGTTTTTAGTAGTTCTGATATTACCCAATTCTTAACCTTCTCTTTTTTTCTATGAAATTTAATTTTAATATTTAACTTTCCGAAGTTCACATATATTGATTGCTTGATGAATTTAATATTTAATCTAAATATTTTTCATAGCTTCTCTTCTATAAAAATAATGTTATTAACAAAAAAAATCCTTTTATTTAAGTAATTATTAATATTGATATGTAATTTTATTTTAATTCTTTTTAGAACAGCGCGAAGCGCGGCTAAGTACACAAGTTAAATATAAAAAAGAAAATTAAAAATATTTTGATTTAATATTATTTAAATCATCTTCCAGAGGACGTTTTGTGTAAAATAAATTAAAAAATATATTATAATACCGACATTCGGAAGTCGATAAAATTAAATAGTATATAATTATATTAATTTTTATTAAAATATTTATATAGTGACTTCCATAAAATTAATAAATTAATATTTTTAATTAACTTTAAATAAGTCGACTTCCGAATGATGGTTTTATATAAATAAAAAATAAATTAATATAAAAATACCGACCTTTATTTCATTCAAATACCAACCTCATGAGGTCGGTATTTTTGTTTCATCCTAATACCGACCTCATGAGGTCGGTATTTTTACTTCATCAAATACCAACCCTTAGAGGTCGGTATTTTTACTTCATCCAAATACCAACCTCATGAGGTTGGTATTTTTACTTCATCCAAATACGACTTCATGATGTGTGTATATTTACTTCATCCAAATACCGACCTCATGAGGTCGGTAATTTTATTTCATCCAAATACCGACCGCATGAGGTTGATCTTTTTATTTCATCCAAATACCGACCTCATGAGGACGGTTTTGTGTAAAATAAAAAATAAAAATATTATAATATCGACTTTCGAATTAATTTAAATTTAAGTATTTACACTGTGACTTTCAAAAAATCAATATTTGCAATTAACTTTAAATAAATCGTTCTCCGGATGACGATTTTATATAAGTTAAAAAATAAATTAATATAAAATTCCGACCTCCCGATGTCTATATTAATTTAATTAATATGGTTACTTTTTATTTATCTTAAAATTTAATGTGATATCAACGTCATGAGGTCGTCATTTTTTTATTATATCTAACTATTTTTAATAAAAGTGACATCTAAAGGTCATCTTGTTTAAAATATTTGTATTAATCATAATTTTGATATTTAGTATAATACTAAAATTTCATTTTGAAACTTACAATTAATTGTTCAAAAATTATAACAATTTTGTATACTTTAATAAATAAATAGTTAGATTTCGTGGAATAAATAAAAAATATATCTATATTTCATATTTAGAGTATGAAACTACGTTGATATTAATTAGGATATAATTATACTTATATTTCTAGAGTGATGTACAAATCTATCAGTCTGTGGTCTAATCATGAACTTAATATCTCATGTTATGATGTAGAGGTGAAGAACTAACATATAATTCATTCGAGTATAAATGTGAGATAGTATTATCATATACTTTCGATCTTGAATGTATGTCAATATAATGATCACTTCCTAATTATGATAACATGTAAAAGATATTTCATCTGAGTATGAAATACGTTGATTAATTATATATGAAATACATTATCAATTAAAGAAATATCGATGATCAATTTAAGGAGATTTATATATTAGATTAGGTATTGATAAACTTTTATTGATCGATAAAATTAAATTATATAATTAGGAGGTATATAATTTAAATTTATAAATTAACTTGATCGATAAATTAAATTTATTAAATTAAACTTCCATTGATTATATATATATATATATATATATATATATACATATATATACCGAGCTCTCGATGTCAATATATTAATAGCGAAATGATCTGATGAACTCCTATACTTGTATGCATTTGTATTATGAACTCTTCTACTTAGTCATTTGTCAGTTGGACGCTTCAACTCATTAAAACACAATATTTCAAACCATTCTGACCATTGATCATGCCTATGTGATATTAAAATGAATGAGTTGGCGAGAGAGTGTAACACACACACCAAAAGGCAAGTGAAGAACATGTTTAATTTTTAAAAATATAAAATAATATTTTTTTAAAAAAAAGTTTCTTCTTCCCCTCACCTCATCCTCTTCATTCATCCCCCACCCCCACCCTTATTAGCCATCCCTCACCTCATATCTGTCCTAACCCCCCTTTTTAGTCATCCCCAACTCCATATCCGCATCAATTCCTCTTTCAGGTTTCAACTATCCACCACTTCATCTTTGGCTCAACTTCTCTTTTCAGTCACCCTCACCCCACTAGTAGACCTAGATTTTATTTTTTACAAAAATTCATTTTAATTTCACCAAATACCACAATTAAAGAGTGAAATTTCAACTACAAAAGCCTTACAAAGCAAGGAAAATAAAAGGAAACAAAGAAAAATTAATTTAGATCCAATTTAAAATTCAACATTTTCTTTTCAAGACTCTCATTCTCAATGTCACTTTTTTTTTTTTTTGTAGAAGAGAAGTTTAAATGAAAGAAACTTTTTTTTTGTATGAAGACAAGCTTAATGGAACAAAAAGAGGCAATGATCGAAAAACACCCCTTTTGGTGGAGAAACAGGGTGGTCGGTAGCGACATTAATGAGGAGGAAGATGAAATCTATGATCGAAATTTCATGTTGCCGGCGGGATATACAAAAGAATATGTGTTCTGTCCGTAAGAAAGGAGAAGAAAGAAAATGGATAGGGGCAAGTGGTAATTTTCATTTTTTCGGTGAAAGGTAGAGGGTGGGGAGGAAGATGAGGGTGGGGAGGAAAAAGATGAAGTGGGAATATGAAAAATGATTATAGAGAGAGAAAAAAAATTGTACCTTTTTAAAAAATTATATATTTTAATTATTTAATTTCTAATGTGTCATTAAAAAATAATAATGATACTGGCATGTCATTAAAAAATAATAATAATACTGACGTGTCATTAAAAAATGACGTGCAATTTCATGTGTAAATGGAGTGCAATACACGCACACACAAATGATGAGAACGGGGTTTCAAATATTGTGTTTTATTTAGTTTAGGGGTACATATGACAAAGGGGTAAGTAGAAGGGTTCAAAATACAAATCGATTCAAGTACGAGGATCACTTTTTTTTTTTTGTACAAGAGAAGTTTAAATGAAAGAAACTTTTTTTTTGTATGAAGACAAGCTTAATGGAACAAAAAGAGGCAATGATCGGAAAACACCCCTTTTGGCGGAGAAACAGGGTGGTCGGTAGCGACATTAATAGAGGAGGAAGATGAAATCTATGATCGAAATTTCATGTTACCGGCGGGATATACAAAAGAATATGTGTTCTGTCCGTAAGAAAGGAGAAGAAAGAGAATGGATAGGGGCAAGTGGTAATTTTCATTTTTTGGGTGAAAGGTAGAGGGTGGGGAGGAAAAAGATGAAGTGGGAATATGAAAAATGAGTATAGAGAGAGAAAAAAATTGTACCTTTTTAAAAAATTATATATTTTAATTATTTAATTTCTAATGTGTCATTAAAAAATAATAATAATACTGGCATGTCATTAAAAAATAATAATAATACTGACGTGTCATTAAAAAATGACGTGCAATTTCATGTGTAAATGGAGTGCAATACACGCACACACAAATGATGAGAACGGGGTTTCAAATATTGTGTTTTATTTAGTTTAGGGGTACATATGACAAAGGGGTAAGTAGAAGGGTTCAAAATACAAATCGATTCAAGTACGAGGGTTCTACCGGATCATTCCGCCTTATTAATCAACATAATTACTTTTTATTTATCTTAAGATTTAATATGATACCAACCTTATAAGGTCGATATTTTTTTATTAGATCTAATTAATTTTGATAAAAGCGACATCCGGAGGCCGGTTTGTTTAAAATATTTCTATTAGTTATAATTTTTGCTAATTTAGCATAATACTAAAATTTCATTTGAAATTTATAATTAATTGTTCAAAAAGTGTAATAATAAATAAAGAATTAGAATTTGTGGAATAAACAAAAAAAAATATCTATAATCCATATTTAGAGTATGTAACTACGTTGATATGAATTAAGAGATAATTATACTTATATTTCTAGAGTAATGTACAAATTATATCAGTCCGCCTCAAATCATGAACTTAATATTCTCGTGTAATGATGTAGAGGTCAAAAGCTAACATATAATCAATTTGAGTATAATGAAATGCGAGATAATACTCGTAGAAATGTCATGATAACAATAAATTATAAAATTTTTATTTATATAATTGATTGTTGAATTATTTGTACGTATAACCTTTAATGTCTTATCTCATTTTATGAAATAAACAATAAAACATCGTAAATTACTATACAAAATAAGTGTTATCAAGATTATTACGTTCTCTTGAATGAGTCTCAAATGTAGTGATCATATCGTATTACATGTAAAGGATAATTCATAGGAGTATGAGATACGTTGATTAATTATATACTCCTCGAGTAGTTAAACAAATCAAGTCTTATATATTAGTGGTTCATATATGAAATACATTATCAAATAAAGAAATCTCGATGATCAATTCAAGGAGATTTATATATTATATTTGATATTGATAAACTTTTGTTGATTGATAAAATTAAATTTATATAATTAAGAGGTATATAATTTTAATTTATAAAAAATTAAATTGATCGGTAAAATTAAACTTATTAAATTTTTTAATTCATATGTAGTTAAATATAATTTATAATATACATACATAATTTTAATTAATAAAATCAACCTCAAGAGGTAAGTTTATATTAAAATAAATTAATAAATATCTACCTTAAATGTCAATATATTTAAATTATTATTTAATTTATATAATATCAACTTTACTATATCAGTATTTATTGAACATTTTTAAATATAGATAATTATTTTAAAACATATAGACATCTTGTGGTCCGTAAATTAACACTTTCTTTTAAAAAAAATGATAAACTCAAAACCCTAAAGTTATTTTTCCCGCTCCAAGCCTCTCTAACTTCTCCCTCACGCTCGACCCAACCTCAACCGCCGCTCACCACCAATTCGCGACCGGCGATGCAGCAGTAGGTCGCGCCACTATACCCGACCGACCGCCGCGCCGCCTCGATTTACAGCAACAGGTCGCAGCAGCAGCAGAGCGTAGCTGGCAGCTGCAATCTCCGGCAACAGCTACAAACAGAAGGATTATACATCAAAACTCACTTGGCAGCATCAAACTCCGGCAGTGACAGTAAGCTTATCTTACTCGAGTAATTTTTAATTCAATCTTCTCCCATCTATTAATGTGGGCGTTCTTTCTTTTTCTATGTTGATGTTTGTTCCTTCTGTTTTGTGCTTTGATCGAAAAGAAGTCTCCTCATTCGAATCAGAGTATGCTGTTAGTTGTGAAAGGGCAGTTGATGATATAAGCGTAGAATAACATGTACTAATGAATAATCTTCAATGAAATGCAATTGTGTGTTGTATCGACATTTTGTATGACTATTTCAATCAACTTCTCCTTAATCCTAAAAACTAATCCTAAAAAAGTTCGAGGGTGGCTATATGAATCAGTCCATACTGATACTCTGTCTTGTTCTGATTTACACACTTTCCTGGAAAACAGCAAGCCTGTTATAAGTTTTAGTTGCTCGGACTCTCTAAAAACAGTTATATATATGTCGAATCCAAAAAGTAGTACTGTGTCTGCGTGAGTTTGATCCTCAAAAGATAATACTACTTTTTGGAGGAGTTTGTTGGGAAAAATAACACACAAATAATATTCGCAATTATCTATGTTGACTGATAATTATTGAATCTTTCAAATCATTTGTTACTAAATTTTGGAAATAGGCAGTTGAAAGGGTTGTTTTTTCTATGTTGTGTTTGTGCCATGTAGTATCTAATAATTATTGAATCTTTTTCCGGTGTTGAATGGGTTGATTTTGTGTGCTAGGCAACTAAGGAAGCTCAACATCTAAAAAGTTGATATAAGCTTCTTTCAACAAAATAGGAGATAAGATTTGGCGTTTCTAAATTTCTACATTTCAAGTAAAATTGTTTTTATAATGTGTTTGTGTCCATCTAGTATTGATACTTCGCTTTGTGATAATTTGTTTGTGTCCATCGAGTGTTTGTTTAGCATAAGTACCAACACTAGTTGATCTTATTGATGACAAAATTGATTTTCTTGCAAAATCGATTTGTGTCCATGTAGTGTTGACACTTAACTTTTAATTTAGAAATATTATATTTGTTAAGCATAAGTACCAACACTAGTTGATCCTATTGATGACAAAATTGATTTTCTTGCAAGATCGATTTGTGTCCATCTAGTGTTGATACTTAGTTTTAAATTTAGAAATAATATATTTGTTAAGCATAAGTACTAACACTAGTTGATCCTATTGATGACAAAATTGATTTTCTTACAAGATCGATTTATGTCCATCTTGTGTTGACACGCTTTAAACTTGAAAATAATATATTTGCTAAGTATAAGTACCAACACTAGTTGATCCTATTGATGACAAAATTGATTTTCTTGCAAGGTCGATTTGTGTCCATCTAGTGTTGACACTTAGTTTCGATTTAAGAATAATGTGTTTGTTGAGTATAAGTGTCAACACTAGTTGATCCTATTGATAACGGTTGCTTTTCTTGCAAGATCGATTTGTGTCCATCTAAAGTTGACACTTAGCTTCAATTTCGGAATAATGTGTTTGTTAAGTGTAAGCTTCAACTTATATAATGTGGTTTAGTTGGTGAATATATTGTCGGAATTAAGTTAAAACTAACCAAATTAGACTTAGAAAGTTGTTAAGTTCTTCAAATAAGTTAAAATATGTAATGTGATTTAGTCGGTGAATATAGTGTTGGAATTAAGTTAAAACTAAGCAAATTAGATATATAAAGTTGTTAACTTCTTCAAATAAGTTAAAATATGTAATTTGATTTAGTTGGTTAATATAGTGTTGGAATTAAGTTCAAACTAAACAAATTAAACTTATAAAGTTGTTAAGTTCTTCAAATAAGTTAAAATATTTAATGTGATTTAGTTGGTGAATATAGTGTTAAAATTAAGTTAAAACTAAACTAACTAGACTTTGAAAGTTGTTAAGTTCTTCAAATATGTTAAAATATGTAATATGATTTAGTTGGTGAATATAGTGTTGGGATTAAGTTAAAACTAAACAAATTATACCTAGAAAGTTGTTAAGTTCTTCAAATAAGTTAAAATATGTAATTTAGTTGGTTAATATAGTGTTGGAATTAAGTTAAAACTAAACAAATTAGATTTATAAAGTTGTTAAGTTCTTCAAATAAGTTAAAATATGTAATGTGATTTAGTTGGTGAATATAGTGTTGGAATTAAGTTAAAACTAAACAAATTGGAACTTATAAAGTTGTTAAGTTCTTCAAATAAGTTAAAATATGTAATGTGATTTAGTTGGTGAATATAATATTGGAATTAAGTTAAAACGAAAGTAATTAGACTTATAAAGTTGTTAAGTTCTTCAAATAAGTTAAAATACGTAATGTGATTTAGTTGGTTAATATAGCGTTGTAATTAAGTTAAAACTAAACAAATTAGACTTATAAAGTTGTTAAGTTCTTCAAATAAGTTAAAATATGTGATGTGATGTAGTTGGTTAATATAGTGTTGGAATTAAGTTAAAACTAAATAAATTAGATTTTGGAATTAAAGAGTTGCTGAAAAAAGAGAACATATATTTTTTATGAAACGGGTTAGCAAGGAAAGTAAGACAAAGATACGAAGTGGATAAGAAAACAACTATTGAACTGGAATTGCTTGTGGCTCTGTTTTTTCTTTATATAATTGGCAGTGGTGCTTAATGCAATAGCATATGTATTGTTGATTTTGTATTAGATATATAATTGATAATCTTTTTATGTATCTGAAGTACTTATTAGATGTATAATTGATAATCTTTTTATGTCTCTCAAGTACCGAGATACTTTTACGTGTGACAAAAATGGTGCGTGCATACAAAGTAAAAGGGGAGAAAAGAAAAAAGAAAGGAGAGAATTATGATAAAGAAGAAGAAATTGAGGTACCTTTGGAAGAGGAGGAATCAACAAAAAGAGTGAAGACAGAACACTCTGAGGCAGACACCGAGGCAGCTGAAAGAGTTGTAGATTTACTATCTGGCATTCCTGTTGTTGCAACTGATCAAACCAATAAACCTGGTGTTGTTTTCATCATTGAAAGAGCTTCTCTTGAAATTGCTAAAATTGGAAAGGTCTGTCTCTATCTTTGCAAATGTCATTTCTGTTCCTCTACTTTTGTATGGTTTTGAGATTGTCTACTTCAGAAGAAGCTTGTAGCTTTATCAGTATTATATGATGTTATCCAACATCCCACTAGCTCATCTTATTATTATCTTTAGCATCGCATATAATGCTCATCCTTCCCTTCACCATGTATAAAAGAAGTTGAAGTTATTGTGTGTAATGATCTCTTTCTCTTGTCGATGCAGACGTACCAACTTCTGAATTCTGATGAACACTCCAACTTTCTGAAGAAGAATGGCCGGAACCCTTCTGATTATCGGCCTGATATTGCGCATCAGGTTAGTTGACTTTGGAACTCCAGCCCCATCTTGTTGCCCAATATTCCTATAGTATGAACAGAATGGTGTTCCTGTAGACTCCAGATTTAAGTGTTTGTCGTTTGAGACACTATCTGCATGCATGTGGGCGATAGTTCAATAGTAACAGACAAGAAGTTGATGGTTCAAACTTCTGTCAACTTTTTGTGGTGATGGGTGGTGGAATTTCCTGGTCAGGTATTGAGTCCTGCTAGTGAAAGTATGTCGAATACGGACATGGAGAGGGATATCTGGTAGTTGGCCATGAAATCACCAAGTAGTCATTTTAATAGCTCTTTGATAATATATTGACATATATTTCTCTAGCTTAATCATCATGGTCATATCCCTTTAGGAAAAAATCTTGCTTATTCACTCTAGGGTCCACTTATTCAATTCTACAGTCCACTTTGCAATCAAGGCTATATCTAATATATGCTGTCCATCTATACTAGTTGTTTTGTCCCAAGAGATAAAACGAAAATTCTACTGAGAGTCTAGAGAAAATAACAAAATTAGGACTATGGATAAGTGGGCTAAGCATGTTTTTTTGCTTAATTACACTACTGACACTTAAGTTTTAAGTTTCTGCCACTGTCAAAAGGAGAATAAAACAAATAGGAAATCAGATGCCTTCTCAACCCACCACCTCTGTGTGCTACTCAGGCTCACTCTTTATGCTGCATTGTTTCATTTATACATTTGACGATATCAACCGCGGCATGATGCCTCTACATCAGCTTCTTTATTTCTCTCGGAAGCTTCTCAATACCTTACATGAGAAGATGCAGATATGGATTGATTAAGCTGTGGTTTCGCTTCCACATTTTTCCTCAGAGTTAATTCTTTAGACGAGTTCATCATATTGATCTTCTATTCTACTTCTTTCTGGTTCAGATTCTGAGTGTGTATTGGAACTGGAAAGCATAGATGGAATTGCAGTGTGCTGGGCTTGGCTTCTTCTTGAGTATATAATTTCTTGTTGAAATAGAAAGAAGAGAAAAAACTGAGCAGCAGTTGTTGAGAAGTTCAATAGAAAAGGAGAACACTGTTTTTTCCTTCCTTACTGTTTGATCTTCTTGGAGAAAGCAGGAAGATAAGATGTAAATATATTTGCTTGATTGCACCTCGGGGCTTGTAGGATGTGAACATTTTAATTGATGTCCATGGCACCCTTGTCAAAGTCCTTACTTTCCCTATTATACCCTCCTTTTGGGACAATAATTACTGCTTCATCCATTTTCAGTACAGTATGTAAGTGAAATAAGTACTAAGTCCTTGCAAAGCTAATTGAAAAAAGGAATTGGTGTTGCATGTTGACCATCTTCATTTGCATTTAATTATGGCACAAAGTTCACGATAGCTTTATGAGGCAATGCAATTAGTTATAAATCCTCATTCGCCTTTTCCTGAAATGTTTATGTGAGTTCTTCTTTCCTTTCACAGGCAATGCTTTCAATTTTAGATAGCCGAGTAAATAAAGCTGGGCGACTGAAAGCTTTGTATGTGAGGACTGAGAAAGGTGTCCTTTTTGAAGTAAAACCTCATGTTCGTATCCCTAGGACTTTTAAGAGATTTTCTGGCATCATGTGTAAGTTAATTTACCTTGAACAAAATTTCTTCACTCTTCCCTTTTCGTGCTTTTATTCCTATATATGATCTGCGATTTGTCTAATTTTTCTGTTTTCTGATGTTGCTTCAATTTCAGTGCAGCTGCTACAAAAGCTGAGCATAACTGCTGTTGGTAAGCGAGAGAAACTGTTGCGTGTTATAAAAAACCCTGTTACACAGTACCTACCCATCGACTGTCGGAAGATAGGTGAATAATTTTTCTGTTTTCGTCCCATCTCTAATGGAATGTTCTTGATAATTGACTAATACCCCACTTTGCTTATGCATTAGGCTTCTCTCATAGTTCTGAGAAGCTGGTGGATATTCAGGACTATGTTAATGGCGTCAACAATGACATGAACCTTGTCTTTGTGGTATGTTCTAGTTTAATTTTCTATAGACAACTACATTTTAGTGTGAAGTTATATTTTACTTGATATTTGACATATGCAGGTTGGGGCTATGGCCCATGGGAAAATTGATAAAGATTATGTTGAAGATTATTTATCAAGTAAGCTAATTCTTCCAATTAGAGTGTCATTTGATTCTTCTGACTTTATCTTGATTTGCATGGCGTTAGTAATTAATGTAGGAATACGAACATCTATTACTTGTGCATGTATGCTCAATTGGTAACACTAGGGTAATATTGATCTTCCTGTAGATTAAAAGTACTTCTCGACAGCCACTTATGACTTTGGCAAAGAAAATTGTAGGTTGCAGCCTCTGTAGAATGTAGATATGGTTGGAATGGTGATTATAATCTTTGATTTTTTAATCATGTATTCTAGTATATGCCATACTCTCATACAAAACTTGTAAAGGGAGAGATTGTTTGGTTCAGTTCAGTGTCAGCCTGTCAAACTCTGAAAGCAAACATATGCGGGCTCTCAACTGCATCTAAACCTACTTGATACTTTTAAAACATCCCGTAGAAATGAAAACTCGTCTTGGTATACTGTGAAGTTTGATGATGAGTTATTGGTGCTATGCATGTATAGTCTATGTAAATGCTCAACTAGGTCCACACTGTTTTTACTACATCTTGGCAAATTATTGCATTATTTCTGCAGCTGAACCTTGTCTAATCATCTTACTGTATGTTGCAGTTTCAGATTATCCATTGAGTGCTGCATACTGCATATCAATGATCACGAATGCCATGGAGCGCAAATGGAAGATTTTGTAGACCGACCTTAGCTATATTCTCCCAAGACATACTTTGTAGAAAGTTGTCCTTGCTAGTTTTCTTTCTATAGGCCTTTTTGGGTCGTTAAGTTGTGTAAAGGGCAAATGACCCTCACATTTTGGAGTGCCCTTTTTGCTCGTTTACGATCAGTTTAAAACATTTTGCAGACTTATTGATCGTATAAAGTGAAATTTTGATTATCGGAATCTCCCTTCGTGCAGAGGCCAACATTGACTATTCTTATATGAATTGTTAACAATGTTGGTTCTGCTTTGTTTTCAAATCCAAAAAGCTCTTTCTACTTAGAATAGGAAGATACTGTCTATTGTTTCATCAAAATTAAAAATTTAACTATATAGCCCCTAGTTTTATAGTTGAGAGAATTAGTTGGTCCGTTTTGGTATCTATAGCCTTCATTACACAAGCATACAAATGGAGTTTACAAAATTGAACATCAATGTGGAATTTGGAACAATGAGCTAGCTAGTTTGGTGTGCGGAGAAAGAAACTGGATGACGCAGCCAATGTTATAGCATTTCAGTATGTCAGGGTTCGAGGGAGGCTTTTCCTCTGGAATGTCAATAATGATGGTCGACAATTAAAAGTCGGTTTGATGACGGAAGAAATCCTATCTAACCATGAAATTATGTGTTTATGACGGAAGAAATCCCACCGTCATTTTTTATTTTACACGATGGATTATACCAAAAGTCCACCCACATTATATTCATTCGAGTTTCTGATTTCATTTAAAACAAAAAATTATTTTAGGTTCCAAACTAAATGAAATTTCATCAAACAACTATCCAATTTGAGATAAATACATAAATAATATATTATAAGATAAACTTTTTATTGATTCAAGTCCTAATTATTTGGTATTAAAGAATTTTTCATAAATATATTATCAAGTAACTCTCTATATTATATGTCTGATGATATTATTATCTAAGTCCCAATATTTGGTACTTGGCATGTGTATCGATTTAATTTTATGATACTCATTGTTTATAACTATTAGCCTACTTGCTCAATGATACAATCATATTAATTGATTATCAAGAATTTTTATTTAAATCTTTGAGTTTTCACACATATATATTGTTGGAGATATATATATATAGAGAGAGAATCGTTGATGTGGCAGCCTCCAATGACCAATATTTGCAATTGTCTATTGTATCTTTTTAATTAAAATAAAATCTGATTTTCTTCTAAAATAAAAATTTTAATGGATTAAAAGATCACACTAAATAGGAGTAATTAATTTACAAATGGAGTTATAAATCATTTATATTCTATATCTATATACATACATGGATGCAAAACGGATAAAGTCTAGAGATATATATTTTTGTTGTTTCTTTTTCATTTCAGATAATATGTTCTTTTTTTTTCATTTGTAGTGACGATGTTACTAATTTTTTTTAAGGTTGGTAGGTAATTTGTTTCATTTGTAATGAGTTCTTATTTTCTTTGTATTTTGCAGGAAGTTTTAAAATGGAGCACAGGTATATGTATTTAACTGTTTTCTATTTTTTTTTTTGTAATATTGTTTTTCTACATTTTAGTGAAGATTACTTGATACTTAATTTTACTGATGATGTGTGAGTTTATTTGTTTTGTATTCCTAATATTTTAGATTAACTAGTGAATTTGATCGCGCTATGTGCGATTTTAAATTTTTTATATAAATTGTGTTTATATATTTCTAATAAAATTTACGCACAAATTATACTTCCATTTCAATTATTTCTTTAAAAGATCTTTAATTTATATATTATTTATTATTTATTATTTATAATCACTTAAAAGTTTTAATCTTCTATAGGTACTCGTGTAATAAACTTATAAGTGAAAGAAAAAAATAATTATTTTTCTTAATAAAAAGTAGAGAAAGAAAAGAATTTCAAGAAATTTTGTATATATTTTGAGCATATATATAAAATCGTGTTTAAACTTTTTTTTTTTTAAAATGAAGAATCACAAATACATTTACAAATATACTTATCAAAAAAAGAGGAAAAAAATAAGAACCACAAAGCATATTGTCTATATCGATTTTCCAAACATTGAGACTAAATGAATCATAAGAAATTTAGAGAAAAACATCATTATACTATTTTTTTAAATAAACTAACAAATATTATAAATTATCTTACAAAATTTTTAAAAGTATTGAATTTGACAATCTCTATATGTATTTGGAGCTTGTTTTCTTTAGGGTGTTAGCCTCTTCACCCTCTCTCTTATAATTGATTTATCATATGCTTGTATTCCATTTAATGTAGTATATGTTGTTACTTATGTTTGATTGAACATTGTTTGGTACAATAAAAAAAGTTGCAAAATATGTATGAATTATTTTAACTTCATTGCAATGATATATTTGTAATAAAAAAGTTAAGTTTTGTCTCTATTGTTAAATCAAAGATACATAAAAATAGCTCTCAAAATTACAGTGTCAATTAAGAAGTAGAAAAATGTTTATGATTTTGTAGAGTATATACACTTCCGATCCCATTTTATTTTGTTTCTTATATTTTGTTTGAGAGTTAAATTATATGAACTTTCACCCTTATTATATTTAATATGTGTTTTTTTAATCATATTAATGTGAGAAACATTGAATCTTATAGTATTTTTCGTACATATTTTAAAATATTTAAATTCTAATTATAAAATAATGAATTAATCTAATTCAATTGAGCATTGAGAATAGTTAAATTAACCATAAGAAGTTAAAATATGATAAGTAAAATGAACGGAAGCAGTAATTACTTTAGAATTTAACATTGAGGTAGATGTTATAGGTCGAATATATGAGACTCATTGATGTCAATTATAACACATGATATCAAAATTAATCAAATATTGAGTAAGAAATATTTTAATAAAGAGATCTCAAAGTAGTTCTCAACCAAAAGAATACATCAATTATTTAGTAATTGAAATATATTATGAGACTCCTTGATTTATCAAAATATCAAGATTTGAATGTTGAGTAAGAATTAATAAAGAAATTATAAAATAGTTCTCAATCAAAACAATACATATCTTAATTTGGCCGTAAGAATGAATCCATTAAATTTTATCAAAATAGAGTATTTAATATCACATGAATTTCTCAAGATAAAGTATGAAAGATGCAAATTAAAAACAAAATACTGTAAATCTGCAAAGTAAAAATTTATATTATTCCTTTGAGTTATAACACGTAATCTTACCCCAATTTAGTATAAAATAATATTAAAAGAACATAACGAATATATTTAAACAAACTTAATATACATATCATACAAATTGTTTCTTGACTTTTTGTGTGTGTTTAAAATTAGACATTTTAACCTTTAGGCATAAACGCCACGACTTGCAAAGTGAAGCTTCACAATCACCAAAAATAAATAAGGAATATAAAAGAACATAAAGAAACACATACATAAGACATTAAATATATTAATTGTTCAATTTATTTGGATTATAATTATTTTTCAATATTCACCTATGAAAAAATGAGCAAAACGGATATAAAATGTATCAATTATTCAGTTTAAATAATAATGAGTTTTGATCTTTCTAAATTAATGTAAGTGATGTATAATTTGTAGGTTTTTAAATAAATTATAATATAAATGTAAAAAATTAAGAAAATGTCAAAAATTTAAGATATAAATGTAACGACTTGTTTAGTCGTTTTGAGCAGCAGATTTTATTCTGGAAAAACAGGTTGAGGCGACGGACCCAACGACGGACCGTCGTAGGGTCTCGTTTCAAAACACTTAGAAAATCTGAAATTGGGTACTGAAAATCGACTCTCTGAACTTCGTAACGGAGTGGCAAGACGGACCGTCACAGGCCATTCACCCAAAATCAAGTTTCTGAACTATGCGACGGACAACAGGACGGGCCGTCGCGCACAGGTTGCGCAATCCCAGTCCGGGTCGGATTTCTTGATACGTTTTAAGGGACGTTTTTGACTATTCTTGCCTTAATTATAAAGTTAGTGGGTTAATGTTAATAAGTCTAATTACTTGGGGGTTAAAAGAAGTAACCTTAAGTTAATTAGTGGGGCATTATTGCCATCTTTTATCCTTAATTATACACTAATTAGGGTAAAAGAAAGAGGGTTTGAATAAAGAAAATAGAAAGAACAAGAGAAAGAGAGAGAAAGTTGAACGAGAAAGAGGAGAAACGAAGAGGACACAAAGCTTTGGGAATTTGCTTGCTTGATTTCTAATCTTCTGTGGAGGTAGGTTATGGTTTCTC